CGATATAATTGCATATCACATATTATACAAGACGCAATATCTTACCATGATGCTGCTGCCTGCATATAAGTTCTACTATAAGGGAAACGAAGGAGAATAAATAGAGAACGAAGATGTATATCCCACATCCTATCCTATCCAATCCTTTTCTGTTCTACCCTATTCGGCTCTATTCCACAACAGTAAGTGATAAACGTTTGAAGTGGTCAATTCTATGACTGAAACTCCACTACTACTGTTGCTGCTTTTTTGGATGTTTATGATGGTTTGTGTATTATAGATGAATTGATTTACGCTTGTCATATTTTTTATTTCAGAAAAGAAAAGCCAGCAGCGTTATGAAATGATAAGGATGCAGCATAAGTGCATAAAAGCACGAAATAAATTAACTTTCCAATGGATGAATGAAACGATAACAACAAGTTCATGGTGTTGCTAGCTAACTATTATATTATCACACTATATTAAAAGTTCCTGTTCTAAACAAGTTGTTAGCTGTCTTATTCCTTTTCTCCTTATATGATATACTCCTTTACACATACATTCAATCGACTCGCTAAAGTAGTATGCTCGAACACGAATATGGCTAGCAAATGATAATAAATCGCGATTCTGCTAGTGCTGTTGCTTTACATACATCGCTCGCGTGTCATAATTTTTCGAATAACAATTAGGCAAGCATTTTACTACTTTTTGCATTTCCTTCTCATTAACTACCACTCAACTCAGAATTTTTATAATTTACAATCGTTACTATTAAAAGAGTGCAACTATCATTGTCAGCATTAGCTGTAGCTTGAGATATTAAGTAGTAAAATTATTTTTTAGTAGCAATATTTGGAAGTAGTTGAATGAACTGGTAGAATGGTATGGAAAAAGAACAGCATTAAAAGTGAGTAATGCGCACGGCAAAGCGATTATATTTATCGTTTACTGATAAATCAGCGAACTCTTTTAGAGATGACAATTTTCAGAAGATATTATTTCGTAGAAAAGAACATTTCAGAGGGAATTTTCATGAGTGACGAATAGCGATAAGGCGATAGCTAGTAACATCATCTGTCTTCGAGAAAGTGACGAAACAAAGATTTGACGGCAATACATTTTGACGTTGTGATTCGGGAGCAACAAATGAATAATTCCTACTTTCTAAGTATGTGTTTGGTGAACTAAGAAAGGGCTTCTTTGTATGTGCTCGCTGTTTTGGTTCAAAACAACAGTAAGACTAGAATTGAAATGTAGGAGAATTCTGCAGAACGAAATGAATAGAATAAGATGAAGTGAAGTGAAGTGGAGTGATGTGTTGTGTTTATAAAGTAATTTTCAGAATTGATATTATTTCTTATCACAACAATTAACATCAGGCGAATTCGCGTCTTCTCTGAAATTTCATGATAAGAGCACGCATTTACAACTGATAGGACAGCATTAAACAATGATCGTGGAGAAGAAATCAATAAAATATGTGCAATAAGGAAAAATGGTGATTGAATGAATGCAAAATTATTTGAGAAATACGTAAAAATATCTATGGTACAAGCTGTGTATATGCCAAATAAATGGCAGCAAAAACATTCAGAAGCCATCTACATGATATCTACAATTGATGTTCATATTCAACTTCTTCACGCAGTCATCGCATATCATTACCAGCAAACAAATGTGTATTTATGAATGTGCCTAAAAAGTATGTACGCAGACGATTGTTTATTATTATGAATGCAATCAATTACGCTTTATGGAATCAAATCCAAATTTTTAGATTCATTTGTAGGGTACAGCTTGTCTGCACTAAGACTAGCAAAATTCCATCAGTATTTCGAACATAATTTGATTTCAATTCTCAACTTTGGCTTGAAAACGATAGACGAACAACATTCTAATATTTATGTGGTAACAAGCATCAAAAGAGGATAAAGAATATTGCAACAACAGATGTTACAACGTAGACGTCATCTAGAAAATGAATTGTCGATGACGCTTTGCAAAGTGAGAGTGTTGCAGCTGAATTCGATGAATTATTCGTTCACGTAATGCATCACTCGAAATAGAACACGATTGAATTAAGTGACGATGCAGTGAAAATACGCTAAATAAAAATGAAAAAATAGCGCAATCACGAAGAACAATGATGTTCGAAACAAAGCCAACCTACACGCCTCTATGCTCTGAATCGAACAGCAAGATTCCTGTGTTTTCGTTTGCTTCATTGATCTCTTCATATAATCACTTTCGCTAAATTTTGAAAACGCAGTACTTACGTTTCATCATCAGTGACGATTAGTATATGGTATCATCAGTCGCGAAGTCACAATTTTACATACTAGTATTTAATATTGTATGATTTCAGTGTGTCAAAATATTCAATAAATCCATCCTCAAACAATACACCATTTCACTATTTCAAACAAGTGTCCACCACCTTAACAACCTCTATGTTCCACTCGGTTATAATCAACTGAAGATGCCATTCATTATAATGATTACGATCTACGATTGATGAAATTCAGTTGTTGACTATGTATCTGATTGATTAAAAGTCATTATTTACAGTTAGCAGCAGTGAAAGTTCAACTTATTCTTATCATAACTTCTTGAAAATTATTCTTATATTCCTCGTCTTACTACTTTCCATGTGTTAAGTTGAGCAGTAGTGACACACTAAACAACTCTGATTAAAGTTAAGTACTAAATCAAACACGGTTTTATTGGTGATGTGTGAGTGCATGCGGGCGTTTTGAAAGAACAAGTGTTTAAAGAACATATTACATCATAGTTTATTATCAGTACAATAAAGGACATTACCACTGACATAAGTGAATACAGTCAGTTATCCTAAAACATTATCTTCCAAGAAAGGTGTGCAAATAAAGCTCCAAAAAAATGGAATTATCTTTAGCTAAATTATCCGAAAGCTAAATTATTTTTAACTTTTGAAAGAGACAGTTCAAAGAAATTGGCATCAGTAACAGCATTTCATTTGGCATTAAATGGCATAGCAGAAGTTAGATGCATACTCTCTTGATGCTCAAGAAACTCCCTGGTAAGGTCGATGTTATGCACTGAAAACAAACGGACAATCACCACGGCAGGTAAAGACTAATCTCGATGATTAACAGTTATGTTAATAGTCGATGGTCTTTTCAAGAAGCACTATCTACTGTTTATGATATTGTACAATGCACCATCATTAGCTGTCATGACTAGGGTTTGCAAAATCCCGACGTTTTCTTAGTCCCGAGATCGGGATTTAATCTCGGGATCGATTTTTGATTCTTTTTTTAAATATCGATGCGGGACATGTTTAAACACATTTTTTTCGAACCAATATGTTCATTATTAATCAGAAAGGAGTTAATTCAACAAATTATCGAACAAATCCAAGAAAACAAATTATTCAAATTCAAATTAATATTTCATATAATGATGCTAATGATCATGCCGCAAGGGCATACTGCATTTTCTATGCTAAGGCATCTTGTCATCTCGGGTCTAAACTAATAATTGTACACTTGCATGTGAACATGAAATTCTTGATTCTCAAACACTTATTTGCAATGCTTCAAGTCCATTTTCGCTCAGTATTAACGTCAGCTGAATTCTGTCGTTTGGGAAATTTCGATTTTTTACGAAAGAAATGCACCGCATGAATTATATCATTTGAATTTTGAAAAAATCAAAAGTTCAGAGTTTACCTAAAAAGTGAAAAAAAATCCACAATGGACTTTCATCGAACCATCGAGCACTTACATATTTGATAATTTCGATCAGAAATCATGGAAATGTACTTGATATTCAAGCTTAAGATCTTTTTGAATGGAACAATTTTGCTCACTTCGACAATAAATTCTCACTATGAGAGAACTCAGTGAGAATTCATGTACATTTCGATCGGATGCAAATGTTTCCAAATAGCGAAGTAAAAAAACTTGCAGTCTTTAGAACATGCAGTTAACAGATGGAATATTGAAGCCGAACAAATCGCGTGGGAGGAAACGACTCAAATTTTCGTCGAACTTTGTTGCTCTTGGTTTTTATTAGAAAATGTGATTATCTCTGTTAGTCCACTTAGAAATGCATCCAGATGAGCGTGATATAAACCAATGAAGAGCAGAATAAACAGTTGAATATTCAATTAAATTTTACTTAAAAGTTCATCGAGCTGTCGTTGATCATGTCATTCGTCCAACTTGCGACTATTTCCTTAGCTATTCATTAATGATAAAGGGCAAACAGCAAAGATGACTGCATATGAATGAGATGGGAATGATTAAGGTTTGATTCAAGATGGCCATACTATCAAAATTCACACAAATTGACCTGTTTTACCAAATCCCGAGATCCCGGGATTTTTCAAAACTTAGATCCCGGGATCGGGATCAGAACTGAAATCCCGAGATCTCGTGCAAACCCTAATCATGACTCTGGGCATCACACGTTAGATGATAGGACTTGTTGTAGCAGATTTCTTGCTCTATCTCTAAACTCTGCGTTATACTTTCAGGTTTCCAATTGCAAAATTTCAAGTTCCTGTCGGCAATTTCAAAATTTTGCACATGATGTTAATCATGTGCAAGATTTATTCTGTATCAATTTTGATTATTTTACTTTATCGTGTAAAAACTGATTGAACAATGACCAAAAAAGATTCTCAGCCACAAATTCCCCCAATCGCTCTCTCATTCAAATCAGTGCAATAAAACGAGTGTTGCTAAAGTGAACGGATGCATGAACGGGCAAAAATACTGATATTATTTACTGTTGTTGTTGCTGTTGAGAGGAATTGTTTCGTTGACGATGAGTGAAATAACTTACTTACTAACTCATGAATATTGGCCTATATAATATGTGTCATATTTTACGGTATAACTTATACCAGTTTCCCTACCTTCAATTATACTTATGCTCCAAAATATTTCATTAAATGGTATACGGCAGCAGTGGTTTTTTTACATCTATTATCAAACTTCACATGGGGATAGACGACAGTATTGGTTACATTAAGAAGGCTTGTGCTCAACAACACGTAACGTAAAAACAGCGTAGACAGGCTTATGATCTGAACAATCTTCATCCCAAAGCGATTCATACAGCAGTGGTTTTATACGATCGTTCCCTTTTGAGTAGTACAGAATGCGGTCCTGAAATTAATTATTTTTTGCTCTTGTTGTATGCAACGGATGAATACGAAAAAAACAGGAGTCTACATGAATGTGAATAAGTGCATAGTATGGAAAAGAAAGAGTTATCATGCGTACCGTATATGAGGGAATCCTATTAGAAACGTAATCATTCGAGCCAATTATGAATTTATGAGTTGGCGGAAAGTCGATATGCGCTTCTTCGAATTCAGCAAAAACCGTTCCTGAACACTGATATTTAACAATCGAATAATAGGCATAACTGCAGTGGATATGACGCTTGCTCGTCATAAATAAACCAACTAATTTTTATAGAATCCCGACTCTTTCCAATGATTTATGTGCAATACAAGATTGGTAAATTGCAAAAATTGTATAAAATGCTATGTTTTATCGGACCTCGACGTCCCGGGATTTTTCGGAATCTCGGGATCGGGATTCAAAAGTTGGGATCTTAGGATGCTCTGCAAGCACTACAAGCAAATCTATCCTTCGTACGCATATAATTCCATACAATTCAGCACATCGCACTTCTCTTGTTTCACTTTCACTACTAAAATGAACTACGCTCTTTTCAAACTCTTCCAACTTAAATGTTTCACAATCGCTCTACTCATAAAAATTCATCCAAAACACAAATGATCTCCGCTCATTGCGCTGAAATTTTTTTTGAACAAATCATACAAACTCGATTTTAAAAAAAAGTTTGATGAAGAAACGAAACATTTAACCTTTGCATTTTTCAATTGTTAACTCATCATCTATCAATAAATCCGAGAAGAAACTATCCACAGGTGCATTATTTGCTAACATTTGCTTGCAAATTAGTGCATCCACTCGTTGACGACTTGTTAGACGAAAGTTCAAATCACCAAACCAAAAAATCTGAAAAGTAAAGAGGTAAGGAAAAGTATGAAAACTTGAAGAAGCATTCTGCGGCGTTGAAATGATTCTACTCTTATTCATTCCAACCGTAGCCAGCATAAAACAATCAAACAACAATAATAATGAACGAACACAATCAGCATTTCGAATACTTTGACAAGCTGGTAAATTGAACCGTTGAATGGCTGGAAATTTTAACAACTCACAGATTTTTGAATAATCGTTTAAGCGATTTACTAATGGACCATCTGAAATGTAAAAGAAAAAACAATAGAGAAATAATTGTGTATGTCAGTAATTAACTGATTCAAAATTTTAAAAAAACAACAATCAAAGAAATGAAACAATACGTAAGCAAAAGAAAGCTGAACACAACAGAGATGAACACTGACGTGAGAGGTGAGAGGCGATAAGTAAAACTGACGATTGAAATAATCGGAAATAAACGGCAATCGCGCCTTTTGTACGAATCGGTTTCACAATCGCTGTACTCGAGATGAATTGCCATTCAGGTGCTAAAATGCAATCAGTCCTATTATAGTCTACAGTGTTGTTGGGTAATTTACGGTTGCATTGCAAATATCATTGTCATATACAATAGGTGAAGGTGAGTATCAACAAGAAATTAGTTGTTCAATTCCAAAAATAAGAGATGGGCACTAGCGCGCTGTTGTGTTCAAATAGCGGAACTTTCCAGCGTTAGAGCCCGCTAGTGTCTTTGTCCAGTGCTTCAGCGAGCTATTTTTTAGCGGGTTTGGCAATTTTCGCTAACTTTTCTTCTATAAGCGAGTGCAAATCTTTCCCAACATTAAGGTATGTAAATACATGAAACACTGCACTAAATTCGAACCTGCTGTACTCGTGTTCTTCCGAACGGCTCGAAGTTGAATATTTAATCATAGTTCGAACGTTTAGTGCACCACTAACATTCTGTCTCAGTTATTTGACTCTTAGTGAATTTTGTAGCAATGCAGTGAAGTTTTCTTTGGTTCTGTTGCTTTCGTCGCGCTTTTTTGTAGACGATTCCAAAATAACAATAGCGATCGCGAAAGCGGACTAATTTTGCTTCATCAGCAGTTCAGCGTTAGCGACAATACCGATAGTGGATTTTTCTCAGCGGATCACACATTTTCTTGTTAGCGGATCAGCGTCAGCGACGCTGACGTTTTTCATCAGCGTGCCCATCACTGCCGAAAATGCATCCAGTAACGAGCGACAAAAACAACAAACCAGATGCAAAAGAGATCATCGATTTGCGTATAAAAACCATCAACATCTGCGACCATTTACGTACCCAACAGAACGTCGAATGCGACTCGTGCAATGCTTCATTCATTTGCTTCAGTGCATCTTCATGATACTTTCTAAAATTGAACTTCTTTTCCGTTCTCTTTCTAACGAGAATTTGATTCTATCATTCTTCTCAAAATTCAGAATAAAAATCCAAAACATAACTGATCGATTCATTCTCTTTTTCAACAACAGGCAATAGCAGAAGCATTGTTAATGGCATATAATGTGAATCTCGCTCGCACTAATTACAATTTAAGTGTTCGACGATTCAGTGAAAATAATTTCACTCGAACACAACTGCACTGTAATAATTCAATGGCAATGAAACAACAGTTTGAAAGCTATTTTTAAACGTACGCGTTAGTTGAAGGTAACTCTTGAAATGAAACACAAACAACATCTGCACGATCGCTTGGATGCCCTTCAGCGAGTAAACCACTTATGCGTGCAAGATTTGTTTGAGACTGAAACTATTCTAGTGAAGAAATCAGCACGCCATCCAATATAGCATTGAATCGCACCCTTGTCCCATGTTTGTTCATTCTGCCATTTCTTACAAATTTATCCATTCTTGTCCCCTCAACTGCTCAAAATAAGTAGGCAATTTTCCATCACAGTTCTTATTGACTGTTATCTATGTTCAGGTAACATATCTTGTATTTCAGTATATCTAGCACAGATAATGAATTATTATTATTGTTATACTAAAAATTTAATAATAATTATTATTATAATTATTATTATTAGTGTTACCATTAGTACGATTATTATCATTATTATTATAGAATTAGTGAATAACAGGGGCGCTTAAATGGTGCAATAGCAGTAGCAGAACAACACTTACTTTCGATGCAACATTCCATGTTAGGCAGATAATTTCAATAGTTCCAGTTGGGAGAAGTGTTTTGAGTTGATTCATTGGCGGAATTGTCACACCACCTGGCCCAACAACCAAAGATGATGCTTTGGATGGCGGCGTCAACTGATCACCACTTAAACAAGTATTGTATTATTATACTGTTACGATAATTTTCCTTGAAGTTAGCTTATTAGATGAATGAATGGATGATAAAATCTGCTCATGATTATGTTTCAGTACCATATTTTAATGATAACATTCCATGTTAATAACGAATACGCATCGAGCAATAGTATTGCTCGCTTGTAACTAACAATTAATGTAAACAACAAAAAATTTTTTGATAATGAATGAATTTGTTACTGAATTCTTTCGGTATATTTTGGAAGAAAAAGCTACTGCATGAGACCGAACAGCCCATCGAAAAATATTGCAACACAAGTGGCTTTTTTTACGGAAAGCAATTCCGTTACGGGTGATGTAACATAATATGTGATAAGTGAAGATTATGACAAGGCTGTCGATAATGAAAAATAGAATGATTTGAACCAGATAGAGAAGAGGTCGATCGGTGAAAGATAAATGGTTTAGAAAGGGTAATAAAGTGAAGCAATAGGAGCAGCAAAATAAAGTAGGCAGAAGCGTAAATTTGAGTCATTTCGAAACAGCAATTTTTTGCTAATTCAAGGAATAATTTTTGCGCAATTTCACTTTCGTTTCACTTTTCACTTGTCATTATCATAATTATTTCCGTTTTCAAAAACCAGCGGCAAAGAGAATTTTTTTCCGGTCTAAAAAAATGCAAAACATTAAGAAAACTACAAGTTGAAGATGATTGGGCGAAAATCAAAGGGTTACTGTAGAAGAGTTTCTGAACAAGCGAGATGACAAAAATGTTACCGTGTCTAGTAAGAACGGTAGGACAAACAGACGAGAGAGGCAAGCGAGTAGACGCTATATGGAGTGTGTGACATTTGCTCTCATCACTTAATGTTATCACTGTTTATTATGCACTCATTAACTAACCATTCAGTATTGTCACCGTTATGGTTGTCATACAATCTGCCGCTATAAGCGTACGAAGCATTCGGTGAAACCACAGAATCGCTATCATTGCTCATTCCCAACGAGTCGGAGTCACCCTTGGAATCAGTATCTGTTCCTGTATCTCCTTCAAAAGCATTCCTCTTCCTCAATGCTGAAATTTCATTGCAGCGCCCACAGTAATTCTCATCCCAAATAATTGAACAAATCCCTTCGGTTAACTACTTAAAATTTGATTATTTCAGTTTTGTTTATCAGACAAATCATTCAGAATTCATGAAAATTAACCCATCATCTTTCACACATGAACTGATGATATGCATGTTCATTCCCTTTACTTTCATATTCACGCATATTCATCCCCTTTACACATACAATTCTAAAAAACGCAGTGGTTAAGCGGATAGATGGATGGATGGATGGGTGGTCGTTGATTTTCGCCGTGCAAAATTGGTGAAGCAGCACAATTTAATACCTTAAAACTTACGTTGACTATCAACAGATAATGACATTGTTGCTAGTGTATTGTTAGTGGTTGCTGAATCGCAATCAATTGGATCGTGATGCGAATGATCAGGCAGTGTATCATCGGAACACGACGATGAAGGACTTTCAACAGTTGTAATCGAATATTTTCGTAAATGTGAAGCGACTGATTCAAGACGTCTCATTTTTTGACTTGATATCACCGTCGATGCTGACGGTGTTGAGTCTGCTGATTGTTCTGTTGTTGTTGTTGGTAATAATGATGATGCCGCCGTGTGTAAATTTCGTTCATCGTCAATACCTTTGCCGGACTGAAACATCCACTCATTCAGACACGAATCCATTCAATAAATTTACGGAATAGAGACATAAGGTTATCCGAGCGCATCGAAAGAAAAGTTGAAAACATAATATATGTTTACTTTTCTAAAATCCCAATCATCTCAAGAACCTAAATCTAGTGTTTGTGAGGTTAGTAAAAAGTTCACTCAATCATCCACGCATAGGACAGAGCGAGTTTTGCGCTCCTGAGATGATGAAAATTTTAAAGAGATGATAAGGCCGAGGATAGAACTTGTTAACATTGTTTACTTCACATTAAACGGTCGAAGATCCGAAGCGGTGCACTCACGTTTTTTTTGCAAATTCTTAAAGATATTAACAATGAGGGCACACGGTTTCATAAATGTTATCGAACCGGAGCCGAAGCCAGACTATGATTTCTCTTCTTTGTGTCTTATTACTCAATTTAGTATGCAATTAGCATCTCGCCTATTTAGCACGTAGAAAGAATCACAAATGCCAATAGGCAAATATAGGTGACGCAGAAATAAATGGAACAGAAGGACAAGAATATTAGGAGAGATAATTAATAAATTTCAAGAAATTCAGTGAAGAAATTACCATTTGTTTCAGTTGTTCCCTCTGCTGATGATCTCTTGTAGAGCATGAATTTCCATCAATCGACGACAGCGACGCCACCACACGTGATGCTAATGAGCGTGTTCTTGTACCACTACTCATATTCCTTATTTATTTATGACGTCACATCCTTGCACTCAAATGTATTTTAAGATTGTGTTTCCACCAACGAGCATTCGTATACTTTGATTAATTTTATCGATCAACCAACTGGTGCATAATTATTTCACATGCCCCTCCTTGAGATCTAACAACGGTTCGATTGCAGGGTGGTGACTCTCACGGTGACTAATGACAAAACGATAGAGCTCAACTCGCTGATCGCTTTTATAACACGTTCAAAAGGCTAACTTTATGTCCATAGATCTGTGCACAATACCGATTGAAGACACGTATAATAATGCTAATATTTACCTCTATTCTGAAAAATGTTTTGAATGATGCGTTTTTCGTTTTCAATTGCTTGTATGCGTAAGAAACACTTTTTTCTTCATTCACTCATTATTTCATCTATACTTTCCTTTCCTTTATTCATCACAGTGAAATGTAACTATGGGCTTGGACTGAGGCTCACATCAGAGACCAATGAAGCTGTTTAGTAGACGCCTCAACCCGGTAGATACCACATCTATTTCTTCAATAAATACCTCAGCCTTCGCACGAGCCTCAGCCTAAGCCTGAACATACGCCAAATGCAATTCATTGTCATATTTCACTGCCATTACCGACACTTTCTTTTCTTCGTTATCACTTCAATTCATCATTAGCAACCGAACACTAATCGATGCGGTGACTATATTCAACAAATAGTATGATATCCCACCAACAACACAAGAAATGAATAAAATACAATAACACAAAAAACCCACATCTGTTTATCGATATGCATATATATTTTCAGAATATATTTACTCAAAAACATAAGAATAAATATCTAAACAAAGAAGCAAATGAATAAAAAAACATTGGCTTTCTTCAAAAGAAACTGATATAAAATCGATCTTTTCTATGAGAAGAATAAGAAAGCGACAAATAAGTAAGTGATGACAATAAATGTAGATAGAGCAGATATTCAGTGAAATCAATGAATGTTTCAAGCACTATCATTAATTCAATCATACATTATCAACAACAAAAACGTTGCGGCCTGCAGCAGCAATGGAATAAAATAATTTTTATCTCATCTCATTATATTCAAGTATTTAAAATGCTATCAAATCATTATTTTTTTCAATACCAAAAGCTGAAAATTGAACATTTACGGAACATAAATTATTTTTTGCACGAACAATTATTCCATATGAACAATGACCCGAGTTCATTCAACAGGGAAACGAATAAAGATCGATCAGGATATGAGTTGATTAGAGAAACGATCAAATAAACAAGTACACACATACACTGCACAATCATATTCGAATAGCTCGATAAATGCTTCAGAACGAAGTAAATCAACCGGTGATACTCCAACAATAACAGTGACAACAATAGTTCCTTGCATACAATAATGAATACAATATTGATATTAAGATCCACTGTAATATCAACAGCAATGATAAGAATGGAAATAGTTATAATAAATAATGATGACAAAAACAATAACTATAGCAATAATAACAACAGTGATAATGATAACAATAAACAATAAAAGATCACTCACGTTGACTATCAGCATTATGCACCATATGAAATAAGAACAGATTGACTATTCACAAGGAAGACCAACATGGGAAATACAATTATTGGAATCAGAGTATAGACGGTGGAAAGGGAAAGAAGTAAAGTACAGACTATGGGCTGAGTGGATAAACGTATCACTTGGTAAAAAGTTAAAATAAGCCTAATTCGAGATTACTCAACATAACTTCATGAGTGGGCAGGCAAGCAATAATAATAATAATAATATATATAATAATAATAATAATGAGAAGAATGTCAATAATAATAATAATATTAATAATAACAATAATAATGATAATAACGTTAACATTATCAATAACGATAATGGTGATAATAATAACAATAATAATAATGGTAATAATGATAATGATGATAATAATAATAATAATAATAGTAATAATAATAATAATAAGATGATCGTGATGATAAAGACGAGGTACCAAGTTTAAGAGAGAGAGAAAAAAGCAACAATAGTAAATCACATCCATTAATTCGTTTCAATAAAACAAAACAGATTGACCAGACCAAACGAATATTTTCTAACATATAATATGCCAAACTTATATTAAGAAGTATTTCCAAATCAAATCACATTTTTCTATCAAAAATTATCATCTAAAGCAGTGCTTTTAGATGCTGTCATTTCCAGTCGTCATCGACTTCCTCTCAACAAACTTCACTACCCTGCCCCACCTCCTCATCTCCAATTGTTGTTCCATTTATGACTCCTTATATGTTATAATCACGAATAAATGGTCAGAAAGTTTCACTTCTGCCCACAAGCCGCCAAACGAATTACTCGTCTACTCTTCAAAAAGCTCTAATTCGAACCAACAATAAACTTGCTCTTTCATATCGAAATGAAACCGATATATGGAGACATGAAGGGGAAACGACAGAGCGTAACAAACAAACGATAAAATTATAAAAAGCGCATAAACAATACGTCGAAAAAATCGATCGACCTTTAAAAGATAATAAATAAGTATAAAAGCAACATGACAACAAGTATAAGAATATCATTAATTTAATATAGATAAGATAATTATGAATGATTTGTTTCAGTATTATGTGCATACGTAGATGAGAACATTAATATATGAGATACCAACTGCACAAAGTTACCTTTTAGAAATAAGGTACACTATGAAATGATATGATTCAAAAACTCGTTCAGTAAACAACAAATGAAATGAACCATTTAAATGAACCCTAATATAATAAGATATAATCAGAGATTAACGAAGAGAACCTTTTGTTGATGACTAAAGAGAAAAGCATTTGTTAAAATATGATGCAGTTACGACTCGATCAATGACAATGAAAATGCTTGAAAAAAGGAACATACTCCTGTACAATTGCAATCAAGAGAATCAAATTTTAATTACTCAGTATAATTTTACGCTCAAGAAATTGCCACTGTGTTTGTAACTTTCTCTCATAACTCTCAGCATCAGCCGTCGACGAATCGATCATATTTCTGACGGTTGGTGGCGGCGCAACATACCAATACGTTTTCTGAATGGCCGAGAATGTGGCTTTCGTGAGCGGTCCCAACGTTGACGGATTATTCACCGACGTATAACAGTCTTGTATACCACCCAATTCCAAGATTTTTCTTACCACCGGTGGTGCAACAATTCCTGTACCACGCGGCGCTGGATATAAACGCATATAAACGTCATCATAAATGCCGGTCACCTGAACGAAGCAAAATAACAAATAAAGCCAACAATATAATTCATCAACTGATCTTATTTATTTCTTTATTTCTCATTCCTGATCAAGAACACGTCATGCCAAAAATATACGATAATACTTTCTACAACAGGGTTTCTCAACCGAGGGTGCGAGATAAGCTTTCATTTTTCATACAGTAAAATAGGCGAGGACGCAATTCAACGCATACATGCATGTAAAGTAGGCAAATAATAATAAGCAAAAATAAGAACAATAACAACAACGACAATTATAATAACAGTAATAAATAATAATAATTAATAATAACAACAATAACAATATAATAATAAAAATAACAATAATAATAACAATAGTAATAATAGAAATAATAGTAATAAAAATAACAATAATAGCAACAACAATAATAATAGTAAAAATAATAATAATAATGAAAATAATAAAAATAAAAATGATAATAATGATAATAATAATAATAGTAATAATAATAATAATAATATGAAAAGAAAAAATAAAACCGCTGAAATAAAGAAAATGATGAATGCACGCACCTTGCATGGAACGGTGTGTGGTTGTCCATACAGATAATTCCAGAAGGCACGTCTCACTGGTACGACTGCCGTTTTCGCATTATAGATAGCGCCACGTATTGCGGTTGCAACCTCTTTAGCGCATTTGACACCTAATCCCACATGACCGGCACGATCACCAATAGCAACAAATGCTTTGAAACGTGTTCGGACACCAACTCGAGTCACCTTTTGCACGGGCACTATTTTTAGTACTTCATCACGCATATGTGGCAGCAGTTGATCCACTATTTGATATTCCTTCAATTATTATTCATTCCTCAATAACACTATCATGCATATA